GCTGTAATACCTAACAATGTTGTAAAACTATTGAATAGCAATGCCACTTGAGTGAGCTGTAATACCTAACAATGTTGTAAAACTATTGAATAGCAATGGCACTTGAGTGAGCTGTAATACCTAACAATGTTATAAAACTATTGAATAGCAAAGACACTTGAGTGAGCTGTAATACCTAACAATGTTGTAAAACTATTGAATAGCAATGCCACTTGAGTGAGCTGTAATACCTAACGTGGTTGTAAAACTATTGAATAGCAATGCCACTTGAGTGAGCTGTGATACCTAACATGGTTGTAAAACTACTGAATAGCAATGTCACTTGAGTGAGCTGTGATACCAAACATGGTTATAAAACTATTGAATAGCAATGTCACTTGAGTGAGCTGTGATACCTAACATGGTTGTAAAACTACTGAATAGCAATATCACTTGAGTGAGCTGTGATACCTAACATGGTTGTAAAACTACTGAATACGTGGGAAGATTCTCCAATTTATGTTTTTCCTGTTGATTGAGTCCCATAGTTTAATTATTCGCTTTTTAAGGCATACATTAAATCGAGTTATTTATGGATTATTCATATCCACAAACTCCAGAAGTCTATACGAGTTTATACAAATCACAAAAAAAATTTAGAACCCTCTGTTTCGTACATCCTCTATTTTTATCTACTTTTGTTTACGATTTATTCAACTTATATATGTATGTGTGTGTTATATCAGTGATGTAAATATATATATATATGTATATATATACACACACACATATATATATATATACATATTTCAATTTATCAGTGTAATTGTTATGTAAATCTAATTTTTTGTAAATCTAATCAACTTTATCTGTTCTTATTTGATAATAACTTAAGTTAATTTTTCATGTGTACCATACTTTGACGTAACTTGCATTTTTAGGAAATATTAACTTTTTGCTTTTAGCGACCCTTCGTAGCATTAAAATGTTTGCATAACAATCAATGAAGTATTTGGGAAAGCAGAACCAAAATACACCAAGTTTGTGCACTTCCTAGATGTGATGACACTTCTGATGGAAACAATAACAGCAGCTCTGTATAATCGGCCAAGTATGGCTAGATGGTTAGGGCGCTTGACTTGCAATCTGAGGGTTGCGGGTTCGAATCCACGTCTCACCAAACATGCTCACCCTTTCAGCCGTGGGGGCGTTATAATGTAACGGTCAGTCCCACTATTCGTTGGTAAAAGTGTAGCCCAAGAGTTGTCGGTGGGTGGTGATGACTAGCTGCCTTTCCTCTAGTCTTTCAATGCTACATCAAGGACGGCTAGCACAGATAATCCTCGCATAGCTTTGCGCGAAATTCAAAACAACCCAAGTCTGTATAAGCATTCGACTTATAGCTGTGTCGCTAATTCATACATTTATTATTGTGAAAATAAATTTATAAATAATTTTATAAATCCAGAATTATTTTACTTAACGTATAGATATATTGATGATTTAATTAATATTAAGAATACTGTAATAAATAATTATAATGATAGCATTTATCCTACAGTTCTACAGATCGAGAAAACTTCTATATCAAATACTGAAGCACCTTATTTAGATTTAGATATTAATATAATTAATAATTATAGTAATATTAATATTGATGCTAAAAGAAATTATTTCACATTTCAAATTTTTGGACTTTCCTGTCCAAACAGTAACGTACCAACAAAATACAGAATACACATTCACAGCTTCTTATGTATTATAAAATTTGTAGCATCTTACAGTTCTTAATATCTAATAATAATATATTACCACATAAACTGATTTTTTAATGGCTTTGATGAGAAAACTGTAATTAACTATTTTAAATTATTTTATAATAAATATAAAAAATGTTAATATAAATTTGAAAACAGTGATTTAAACAAAATTACAATATACCCAATAAAGCATAATTTGTAAAGTTATCAAGACACACGGTAGTGTGCCGTACAGCAAAAAAAAAAAAATCCAACCACAACAAAAAGCCGACATCCAGTGTGTTATCAACATAAATGCTCCCCAGTGGCACAATTGTATGTCTGTGGACTTATACAGCTAGAAACTGGGTTTCGATACCTGTGGTGAGACGGCACAGATAGAATTTTGTGCTTAATAACAAAAAACAACAACAATTAACAGGAATGAAAACTTTGTTGGGTTTTCAACCATGTGTATAATCGCTCCCATTAAATAAACTCTCCCATTTTATGAATGATAGGTCTTTTACGTCTCCCTACTTTACATACCAAATTTCAAAGAAATAGCTTTAGCCCTTATCGTTTTACAACAGGCCAAACGTAGCCTGAAATTCTCCGTTTTCTTCTTCTTCTTTTTCGCATCAGTAAAAAAAAACAAGCAAACGTTACTTTAATCGATTTCTTTCAAATTTGCTATGTAGCTGGTATATATATATGTTCCTCTAGTTTGTCAGTAAATTTAGTTGTAGTAGTTCAAGTATTCTCGGAGAGATGGACAAAATAAGCGTAAATGTTTGCACTCGCCTGGAGAAAAATTGGCTCATTCGATCGCGCTGAAATTTCTATCACACATTAGGGTATTCTTAAAAGTGGACCGTTTTTAATTTTATAAAAATCGGACACGAAAAATGGAAGTTATAGGCCCAAAACCACCATCATGTAAAAAGTTTCACACGATTTTTGCGTACTATAGTATACTGCATCAGACTTCAATCAATCAAACTAATGAAAACGCTTCCCGGTACATGGTTGCTTTTTTATGTAGCTTATTTTGTAATATCACTTTATATATTATATAGAATTATACAAGGAACATGATATCTATTGAAAAACAACTTGCCTGAAAAAGATGTGTACAAGAAGAAAGAACTGAAAAAAGACATGAACTCAAAGTTATTGAAGTATTGAAGAAACTCACATGGAGTTATAATGTCTTCAAATTTAATAGGTACTTGATGCTAATTGCTCCAAACTATATCTGATTATCAAATGCATGTCCTTCGTGGTTATTTGTACCTAATGTACAAGAAAAAAGAGTGATATCTAATCATAAACAGCATAGCTGTACAAATAGGTGCAGCAAAAAAAGAAGAAGAAAGAAAGACGTGAAATCAAAGTTTGCGACTAAAACGAGAAAATACTGATAATTAAAAGTGCAGGAACTAGTCGCAAACCACAAACCCTCAGATTCACAGCTCGAGCACGGCTCAGTTCAGTAAAAATTAAAGTTATTCACTGCTTGCTATTTTTGATGATGTTGGTAATTCTGTATAAACAACAAGAAGTTAAAGTAGTTTACTTGTAAGATTTTATGTTTGATAAAAATAGACGGTGGAAAAGTTCAGTCACTTCTTTCATCTCGTTAAAGAAACTCGTGTCATATAAAAGGTTTTGTCCTTTTTTTAACATCCTTATCCAAACTATTACACTTATTCCTAATCGGTACAGATGTTTTAATACTTTTCTTGGTTGCTAGATCTTATAAGTATTAAACTTATAACGTTCTAGCCATACTGTTTAAATCTAGCTTTGGTTTTGGAGGTCAAACTACATAGTGAAAGGCGATTATGCTCTTGGGTTATCGCTGTCACACGATATGTCAACTTGCTTTACCGTAACACGCACTTCTTATTTTCTTGGATCTAACGGAGTTAGGCTATGTAATATTTTGTCATACAATGAAATATTAGTAAGAGTTTTCGTAATTCGCCAGCATAAAACAATAAGAAAGTTTTATTCCGAATGAAAGAAGATTTGCGCGCCTAGTTACAGCAATGTGGTTGCTTGCGGACACACAAGAGTTAAGCTAGGACCCAGGTGAGCCTAAAATACGGTATAAATCCATCCAAAGTCCGGTATATAGTGTATTTCCCGCCACATGCTGCTCGACGTCAGGGCTCTTTTAGTTCCATTTGTCTTAATCCACTCCAGCTGATCCAAGCGGCGGGTCAGAAGGAGTTTGTGGAAATTCCGCATTGCACCATGAACTGCCTCTGGCTCTCTGCCTTCAGCTTAAGAGAAACAAAACAAAGCGAAAAAATCGCAAGCAGCTTGATGCTTCTATAAAAAAAAAGTTTGCGGTCTACCGTTAATTCTTCACAGTATTTCGTTGACTGATGACCAACGGTTAGTCAGAACAGATACTGTGCTTGAAGAATTGAGTTTACCTAGTTAGCTGCGGCATTAGACTGAGCTGCTACGGACAGAACTTGTATATATTTTCTGCGCTGACAAGCAATGTGTTAGTTTCGTGTGTTACTTAATAAAGTGGATTCCAAAGATTGTTACGTTATCCCATGTAGGCATAGTATTTCTTTAATGTGATTAATTGCCATCTGAAATAAATGATTCTTGCTATCCCCTTTTTTTTTTTTTGTAAGCAGAATATTAACCAGAATATGTTCTTGAAAAAAACACAATACGCGAAACTACAAATACGATAAAAAAAGACGTAACATTCTCATTAACTTGTCTGGATAACAACTGTTTCCTATAGAGGGCACATGAGCTCGCTTTCAATTATATTGCAAAGAAAAATAGCCTGACTGACATATTGCTGAATGAACTGTAGTAAAATACACATACTTTATTTGACATGTCGAAATCATTTTGTACATCTCAAATATATACAAATAATATTACCGTTACTTTTATGTTTTTATAATAAACACACACACGAATCTAGGGAAATAATTAAATAGAATGTTTGTATATGTGTTGTCAGATTGTTAGGGCGCTCGACTCGCAATCTGCGGGTCGCTGGTTCGAATCCCCATCCCACCAAACATGTTGGCCCTATGAGCCGTGGGGGCGTTATAATGTGACGGTCAATCCCACTATTCGTTGTAGCCCAAGAATTGGCGGTGGGTGGTGATGACTAGCTGCCTTCCCTCTAGTCTTACACTGCTCAATTAGGGACGGCTAGCGCAGATAGCCCTCGTGTAGCTTTGCGGGAAATTAAAAAACAAACAAATAAACAAACGTATATTTGTTTTTCTCCAGACACCAGCAGTAGCGACGGTGAGAATGCGGGAGAAGTTCGCAACGTCATGCGTCAGGTTATGAGGCCACCAGGTCATAGTGGCAAAGCCAAGAAAGGGCATTTAGTGTTCGACGCTTCATTTGAAGGAGGTAAGTAGAAACACGAGAAGGGACTTGATAAACTTAGCACGTTTTGAAGATTGCAAAAAGTAGAGATTTGAAAAATATCTGTTTGAAATTATTAAAACCTTTAAAGTAGAAAAAATTATGAATTGTTTTACTACATTAGAAGTTTGTGAAACACAAGCCCTCGGATTCACAGTCAGGGCATGCTAACCACTGACTACGCCCAGGCCTACAGTAACAATAATGTTCTGTTCCAAAATCCCTTTAACCTAAAGAAGTTGTCTGTGTTAAGAAAAGCTATTTTGAGTTTGAAGACTGTATTTCGTGTAGGAATAAGAAACTACAAACTATAGAAATACTACACCCAGAGGTGTCATTTAGGTAAAACAGGGGAAGTACTAATAATGGGTAGTTTGTGTTACTTGAACGGTTATTAAAAAGTATAGGAAATAATCAGAGCAAATGCTCCCAAAATAGGCCGATTTTTACAAATGATCCTATAAAACTCAAAATCATCTAGGGAACCAACTTCCTTCGACCTTCAATAAAAATTGTTCTTATAAAACTCAAAATCATCTAGGGAATCAACTCATTTCGACCTTCAATAAATATTGTCCTTATAAAACTCAAGATCATCTAGGAAACCAACTCACTTCGACCTTCAATAAAAATTGTCTTTATAAAACTCAAGATCATCTAGAGAATCAACTCCCTTCGACCTTCAATAAAAATTGTCTTTATAAAACTCAAAATCATCTAGGAAACCAACTCCCTTCGAATTTCAATAAACATTGTCCTTTTATATTTCAATCTTAAATGGTGCTTCTGACTGTACCCGATCAATATATTTATTATACATTATTTTTATTTGTTTTCTACAGTGAAATTGCTTACAAATACCCTTTATATCCTTTTGGAAATGATTGATGATATCTTTTCATTTCAAATTATTTTGTTAAGTATGAAAATCCAACTTAATAAGCACTTTTCAGTTTTTCTTCTTTTTTATAGTTTATAATAGCTCGACGGAATGTAAACACTTATAAATTAATTTATATATTTGTAATGGATTGTTAGCAGTCGGGGTGTTGCACATTTTTTCCGATTATTAGTCGAGCTTTATACGAACTTTGAAAAAAAAAATTTACCGACGTATCTATTACACAGGCCTGCGAATTTAAACTTCATAAAAGTTGTCTTGGTTTGAATAACGAATTTTCCATAAGTCAGCTACACAGATTTAGAAAATAATATTAACTTTTTTTTATCACGTAAGGATTTCTTACAAATCGGGAAGGAAAAAACAACTCCTACTTATATCAAATTATTATTTCGTTTACCACAACGAAGATTTTTTATTATTATGTTTTTTATGTTTAGGTTCTAGAACGATAGATAAGACTCTCACGTCGCGATTGGTCTAGAGAAACCTGTAGCCAGTGGTTGTCAACATTTTAAGTATAACAAAATGTGACCCGATTTCAATGAAAATGTTTCAATTATGTAAAAGTACATATGACTTTTTGTGAAAAGTCTGTACGTAATAGAGAAAACTTGATATTATTTTCAGATTCAGCGTACAGGAATTACTGTAGTACATGTAAAATTTTCAAGACAATGAAACCATCGCAGACCTGTGATATTATTACGTTTACCTGCCATGTTTATGATAGTTAACTGTAGGATGTATTTAAGTTGATTATCAGCTATATACAGAGAAATATTTGTGGTTGTTTTTTAACCTTATTGAACACATTGGCTAAACAGTTAGGTCATAAATCCCAAGCTTAGACATTTCTAATTTAGAAATGCTAACAAGAGGGAAGACAACCATCAGAAACACCCGTCGCCTGCTCAACTACCCTTGTTCCAATAGCAAGAATGGTTGTAACAGTTATGAAATTCCATAGCTAAAACTATAAGCCATGTTCAGTGACATATCACAGTTCGAACCTTAAATTTTCTCGTTCGCAACCCATTACGCCAAAATTGGAATCCAGATCACATAGTGCCTGATACGTATACAGGTTGCTGTTATTACTCGAAGAAAATATTTATTTGCTCATAACTCATAAAGAAGAATATCTGTTAAAAATGTAAAATTGCCTTAACATTAGCAGTTAATACCAATATGTACTGTGATATTTAAATAGTCCTAATTATACACCTTGTTGGTTATTCACTACAGTTTTCGAGGTTTCAGTTTGCACCGAAACTGTATAATTTAAGACAGAAAAAAAATCCCCCTCATGGTCTGTTTGGTTCATATACACTTGGACTATGAAGTTACAAGAATATAGGGACATTTCTTGTTTAGTACTTTATAACGATGTTACATTTATAGGCTTAGTAAGATCCACCTTATTTTGTGTCATAATACCATCCTTTAAACAAGATACTGGATTAATTGATAACCTAGTAAACTGTTTATAACAGGGAGGTGCACAAGGGGTGAGGAGCAAACATGGGGTCCCATCCCCTTGTATCTGTATGAATAGAGACTCGGTCATTTTGGTGAATGTCATGCTGCTTATTTCTATGCATATGATGTACGTGCGCGTGCTTATGCGACTTACGTATGTATACGCGTGTGTGTGGGTGTGTTTAATTTAAGTGACCCCACCCCTAGGAACGGTCACATTTACATTTTTATTGCATCCCGGTCCTAGTGCATAACCTTAAAAGTTGACACAGTCGTTGTGTATAAAAGACTGATAGGAGACATGCATGCCACATTATCGAATGTAAAATAGGCTTAGTATGTTTCTGTCCTAAACCGACTTGGTAAGTAAGTGTATTTATATCCTAGATTCCAGAGCACTGGGTACTTATATACGCTAGATCCCAGAATACTATCTGTCCGTATAACATGTACCTCAGAAACATTAGATTTATGCATAATTCAGTCTCCAGAAAATTGCGTGTTTGCATTTAATGTACGTTAGGCATGTCTATAAGTTAAACTAAAGTGCTGGACGTATGTGTATGTACTGTGGGTTACTAAATATTGTATGTAGCTTAGTATATTCTAGATTGAAAAACATCGGGTGCCTCTGTAACACAGACAATAAAGACATTTATCTGTGTATAATGTAAACTCAGAAACGTTGGAGGTGTGTATAATATTCGCTCAAAAACTACTAAATATTGTATATAGCCTAATATATTATAGAGTGAAAAATATTAGGTGCGTCTCGATAGCGCAGACAATAAAGATCTGTATCTGTGAATAATGTAAACTCGAAAACTTTGGATGTGTGTAGTTTTTGTTTAGTTTTGTTTTTTAGCTCGTTGACGCTTCATATTTATACGTAACGGGACTAAAGATATAGAATTCTAACTACGTACATTCACAAAAATCAGTTTCTTGTTAATCACAAAGTTACACAATGGGCTATCGTTTTGTCCACTGCGAGTATCGAAATCTGGTTTGTAGCGTTGTAAGCCCTCAGACTTACTCTTCTTCAAGATAATTTCACGATCAGTTGCGATGTTAAATATACGTTTAGCACTCTCTTTTCACACTAGTCATCATTTTAATGTAATAGTGTCAACCAAATAATTTTACTAGATTTCAAAAATGTATACTACTATACATATAGTATCATTCCTAAGACTGTAATAATATAAAAAAACAACTTATCTTTCAATCTGGTTATATCAAATAATAAAACGCCTATCTTTCAAAGCTGTCATTTAAATGATATAGCACCTATCTTTCAGCATGGTAATTTTACTACATGAATAATCTACCTTTCAACAAACGTATTTCAGTGGATATAGCACCTATCTTTCAACATGGTAATTTTACTACATGAATAATCTACCTTTCAACAAACGTATTTCAGTGGATATAGCACCTATCTTTCAACATGGTAATTTTACTACATGAATAATCTAC